AAACCAACATATTGTGATGCAAATATCAAACAAACAAACCAACATATTGTGATGGAAATATCAAACAAACAAACAAACCAACATATTGTGATGCAAATATCAAACAAACAAACCAAACATATTGTGATGGAAATATCAAGCAAACAAACCAACATAATGTGATGCAAATATCAAACAAACAAACCAACATATTGTGATGGAAATATCAAACAAACAAACCAACATATTGTGATGGAAATATCAATCAAACAAACCAACATAATGTGATGGAAATATCAAACAAACAAACCAATATATTGTGATGGAAATATCAAACAAACAAATCAACATATTGTGATGGAATTATCAAGCAAACAAACCAACATATTGTGATGGAATTATCAAACAAACAAACCAACATATTGTGATGGAAATATCAAACAAACAAACCAACATATTGTGATGGAATTATCAAGCAAACAAACCAACATATTGTGCTGGAAATATCAAACAAACAAACCAACATATTGTGATGCAAATATCAAACAAACAAACCAACATATTGTGATGGAAATATCAAACAAACAAACCAATATATTGTGATGGAAATATCAAACAAACAAACCAACATATTGTGATGGAATTATCAAGCAAACAAACCAACATATTGTGATGGAAATATCAAACAAACAAACCAACATATTGTGATGGAAATATCAAACAAACAAACCAACATATTGTGATGGAATTATCAAGCAAACAAACCAACATATTGTGCTGGAAATATCAAACAAACAAACCAACATATTGTGATGCAAATATCAAACAAACAAACCAACATATTGTGATGCAAATATCAAACAAACAAACCAACATATTGTGATGGAAATATCACACAAACAAACCAACATATTGTGATGGAAATATCAAACAAACTGTGATGCAAATATCCTATATACATGATTGCATTTCTATTATCATTATATACACGGACCGAGACGTTTTTTTGTTAATACAGAAAGGGACCAGGAGCAGACATAAATGATATTTAATTGACGCAGGTGTGTTTCCCGGTGGCATATACAGAATTATGGTCGGCATCGACGCCGCGACCATTAAGTATATCGTAATATAAAGTGACTTACATCCTACGTTATAATCTCACTTGAAATGATATTTAGAAATGTCATTTAAGTCAAGTGATGCTGTCGAGACCTAAGACGGCGGTCTGAGAGTCGAGTTAAATTAAATTGGTCGGACATTCTTTCCGGGTATATTGTGATTACATTTTAATATTGATATTATAAAAATAACTTGCAATATAATTATTGAAATTACAAATTTTTATTTACTTTTATATACACGTGAAACCGATCTGTATTATATTATAAATAAGTAAATGTCACCATTCCATAGCAACGAACTTTTATACCGTTGCGCGATTGGAAAAGGGTTTACTGTTGCTTTGGGTCCGACCATTCGATAAATGAGGGGGGGGGGTCAGCTGGACACATGATATTTTTTGTTCTGCCATGATCGGATTTTTCTTTATTTTGCAGTGAAATTTCGTTTTTACCGTTCTCATTTATCGAATGGTCGACCCTTATTCAAATACTTTTTTTTATGACCACGATTTGAACACGTGATAATTAATAACACGTATGATACCAATCAGGTGCTTGCAAACGATTCACCGTGTAATTGCGAGTCTGTTCACTCAGTGACAGATCATAGTGTGTTGAAACGACGTACTTTAGAAAATGTGTTGAACCCTGCCACATGGAAAAGGAATACTAGAAATATCTACCAGTATGGAACAATTTACGTATGTGTGACGTGTTATGTGGCCAATCAGAACGGATATTCAAGGAGTTATATACCCCATTATATACTGATAGGTTGCATTCTCCGCATTTTGCGAAATTGCCCCGCCAATGATAATAATCCCCGTGGCAGTTATATATTATCGCTTCACATGGCGGCAACTTTCATCTCTGCAAACCTGAAAAAGAGAATAGATTACACCATTATCAATATTGCTGAAAATGAGTGAAAAGACGGACCGTGAATATCACACGTTTGACTGGGCGCTGGTTGCCATGGGAGCAAATTGGCGGTCACTCGTATATATTCTTTCCAATGGGAGTTGCGTTGGTCACGTGTGTAGCCTGTTATTGGCTTACTGTGTGTATCTTCCCTATCTATACTCGGAAGGCGGTCGTTATTTCTGTAGTGGGGCAGGGTGGAATTTTGCATGTATTGTTTGTTTTGATTTTTTAATGTTATTTCCCCTCGGAGAAGTGTCTTTAGTGGGACAGTTTAGTTCTACTCAACTGATAAGTGATGCAGATTATTTACATTTAGATGTCCCTCCCTGCAGAAATAGTGGTATAATCCTTCCCGGCCGTAGAGCGACGCGTCAATCGATTTAATTTCTCTCTCGGTAATGTTTTGCCATGTCGGATTAGAGCTCAGCGTACAGTCAGAGTTATGATTGATGGAAAAGTTACTTACTCAAAAAAAGAAGTTTTTACTCGAAGAGATGACATGTAGCAACCTACCACTTTGAACATAAACACGTGACTTATTTTCAAATTATTGTAAAAGAGTACCGGTTTCTGTATCCGATCTATCCCAAACTTAAATTGCGGGACGTCAAGTATTGGGAATTATGGGATAGCACAGATGTCGTATTTTTTCAAATTTCATATTATTGTTACACGCTTGAAATGAATGGTCTTAGGGATTGGCCAATAATTTCTACTATGTCATAACATGTTCAATGTAGTACCACAATCTTCGTGCCGCGTTCTGTTCGATATGGGCCCCATGCGTCCTATAGAACGCGTGTAAATATATTGTTTGTTTGAACGAAATATAAACGCGCGATGTGATTGAATGTGGCGCTTTAATAATGCACAACAACAGGGTTTCTCAAAACGATAAAGGTACAAATTATCCTGAAGTAACTCTCGTGAAAAAAAAGAACGGAAAGTACCATAAAAAATGCATGAAAAAATGATCTGCTTTGTCGAACCCATTTTCGAAATTCAAAATGGCCGCTCACTGAAGAACGATATGTAAAACACTTTGTAAAATCATGGTAAAATTGCTGTTTCCGGCACGAAGGAAAAAGAATAGGACTTCTCATTACTATTCCTATTTGTCACCTGCATTTGTTTGGCAATATTTTAAATGCGTATAGCGTAATTTTTTTCCATTTTCACTGAATAATAGTGCTTTGGATAATGAGTATATGTGAATAGAATCTTATAATAGTGTTCCTGGAACAGTTCGTGTTCCTCGACACGATATATACATTACCAGGCATTTAACCTGATTTGTGATGAGGGAACAATCGGTACAATATATATTCGACCGAATATTGTAATCAGCGAGAAAAACTTGTTACTATATATGTACTAATCAGACGCATACGTGTGGGTATTGTTGAATATGCAATCGTCTTCGTAGATAACAAATCAGCGTAGTCTGAGGGAAATATTAAAACTGATATATTGCGCCCCTAGCGTCGAAGCGCTCCAATGACGTATATGCGCAGACCACAGCGTCGTACTGTTTTATCTGTGATTGTCAAACAAATTTGTGTCCTAGAGTATTATTTTTAGAGATTTTGTACATTTCACATGGCGATAGACTGCGCAACTAATGTATGTTGAACGACATTGATTATACCATCTTTTGTCTATCCTCGGGAGCGAAGCTACGTCACGGACGTTCCACGTTGCTAAGACGCGCACCACTGTACATGTATTTCTATGGGCTTTGTGCGCGCTGCTGTGGAACGCCGGTGGAACCGGTGAAAACTCGACACAACAACACAAACTCAACTTTGAAGTAATTCTGAACAACCAAATTCATATATGTTACACATCTTGTTACACTGTTCAGGGGACTCTCAACAACCATCGCAAAGTACCGTTTTCTGCGAGTTTTTGGTCTTTGTTTTCACCGGGTTGCCAGGCGGTAGAAAATGCCCGGATGTCCGCCCTCGAGGATTTGGCGTCACAGTTTGTCGCTAGAGGGCGGGATTTATAAGAAAAGTTGATTGCGACAATTCTCTTCGGTACAACACTAACTCGAAATAAAAAATCTTTCGTTTACTATGTTTTCTTTTTTTTTTCATTGGTTTAGTTGATATTACTCAATGTGAAGACCAGGAGTTTGAGTTGGCTTTAACTGAAGAGAAACAAAATGGAGAAATATTCATCAACATCAGCGCTTCTAATGACCATACAATTGAATGCAAAGCAGAGATAAAAATAACAGCGCCCAATGGACAGGGAATCAGATTACAAGCACGGACAGGGGGAAACTTCCTCCATGTTAGTGGTCAACAAGACTGTGGGACGTCGATAGAAATAAAAGACGCATTCTTCGGAATATGTGGCATTTCCCATAATGCAATTAGTGATAATTCTTCTCTGAACATATCCTACGACACTTCCATTAACTCCATTGGTGTTACCATGACGATAAATGGTACACAGTGGGAGGATGATTTTCTATACAATATTACGGTGTTGGCATATGGGGAGATTATTGCAGGTGAGTAAATAACAACTCCATTGTGGTTACAATGTACGCATGCAATCCGGGCTCAGAATTTGTACGTGCAAAATTTCACAACGCATGCGCCGCGGGGAAAAAAATGTACATCAAGCAAACATTGTAAACAATAACAATCACTATTTAGTATACGTAATGGGTTGTAATGTTTTGGTCACTGACGTAAGTAGAGAACTGAAACTTAAAGGGCGGCAGTAGTCGTGCCACGCATGCGCGAGATTCATGGGTCTCATATAAACAAAGATGGTGACTTTGACTGTTACGCTGATCAACGAGTACAAACTGAGACGTGACCAAGCTTTAAATAGATAATTAGTGCAAATCGCGCCCAGGTCAAACCTCATACTCGTAAATTCAATTGTGGGAAAATCAATGTTTATCAACATGCGCAGCACGGACGACTACCACCATTTAATCTGATTTATTCACGGAGATAAATTTGGTGATTGTAAATGGTCTAGTTATTTTCACCACTATTACCTTGAGGTTTAATGACTTAAGTGATGGCAGAAATGTACATCGGTAGAACCACGTGATATACGCTCATGAAAATACGTTGATTAGAAAATTCCACATTCGGTGTTCTGTTGATGTTGATGTCCACATGCGCACTATTTAACTGCGCATGCGCTTTGTATTACTTGTACGTACTCCTGATTTAAATTGTATAGACATTTACAATTGATTCATTTTGATTTTTTAAAGAAATTTGGGTGTTTACGGTTCATTCTGTAGTGATTCCGTCGAAAATGGAAAAAAAATGTTACCTTTGGCTATAAACACTAAAAGAACAGTTAATTTATACTAATTTTGAAGGATAAACTTAAACAGACTTGAAATAAATAAACAGACTTTAGTGGTCGTTGAAATAAAGATTGTGCAAGTAATATTGAAGCTGATTAAGACGCCCAGCTTTGTGTAAACGTTGTTCTGTCGTCAGGGAACTCAGGGAAAAACTTATCTTTATTTGTTCGTTCATTTCCAGCTAAAAAACCATGGAGTACACTAAGCATGGTAGACATAGTGGTGTCCCTCCTATGTGTAGTTCTTCTATTTTTGATGTGCGTGTTTGGAGTGTGGATGTACATGAACCCGCCTGTCATAAAGAAGTACAAACGAAAATACGAAGCTCTTCAAAGCCGCAAACGATTGTTTGAACAGGCACAAGCCCAGCAAGCCCTGGTTAATGCCGATCAGCAAATGATGCCGTCCCCAGACGAAATATGCGACGGCGACGAAAAAGTCGCCGAGAGAGTCCACCGCGATGACGTCAATGAGATAGTTGATGATACGGTTAAAGAAGATGCCGTTAAAGTCTATGTATAGACTGTAATGTCTATGTGCATGTCTACGTGAATGTCGCCCTCTACCGACCTTGAAATCTTCATATTCGATCTCTATTATTTTTCATTATGAATGTCCGAACATGGCTGAGGGCAGCATACTAAAACTGGAGTACAGGACAATCAGTGAGACACAGACAGACAATCTAGGACATCGTAGTGTATGCAACTTGAGTGGCACATTTCGTATCATATTCTATTTTTTGTTGTAACGGATTGTCAATTTCGACGCCATTGTGATATTACGTGTACTCGGACACCGTCCCTCAACACCAGACGGTGACTCAGATGAATTGATCTTGGACACGTTGAGGGTAGGAATAGGACCCGGAAAAAGGACCCAGTCATTCGGTATATGGTTTGCACTACATATACAGTACACAGAACACATATACCCGACTGACTGCGTCGGGCATGCTGCTTAAAGTTCAGCTGGTCTAGAATCAGTCACAATGTCATTGTTTAACGATATGATTTCAACAACATATATGTGTATTTTAATGTATGTTTCAAGAGAAGAAGTACAGGAACCCAATCCGGCATTGTTCCAAGATTGGCCAGACGCAATTTTGGAATGGAAGCGGTAAAGTCTGCAAAAATAAATGCTCTCACGAAAGATTATCACAAGGATTCTTCTCTGATCCAATACATTGAAAACCCCGGGATGTTATATATATATATTTTTATTTATTTATTTATTTAAAGACCCGTGTGTGACAGTAAGTTATCTTTGAGACGTGTCTCAAGAACATTATTTGAGATTTAAGTTTGAAACACTTCTTATACTTTTTTGTACTTTTTTTGTTATCTCCACATTGTACGCGGTGGTCGTCGCGCTGCGCAGGTGCGACATTTGTGTTGATAAAAATTGAATTTTCCACAATCCAATGCGCCTTCTAACGGAAATCATGAATACGAGTTTTGACCTGAGCACGATGTGCACAGACTAATTACCACCGGTAACTACTTCTATAGTCAAAATTGCCATCTTTGTTCATATGAAAGCCATATCTTGCGCATGCGTAGTGCGGCGACCGCGGCGGTGCCCTTTAAAGCAGTACGTGAAATATAAATGAAGTAGAAGGAAATTTGGGCAATGGTTGAGTATTCAATTCAGTACGAGTGCCCCCCCCCCTCCTGCCTGCGTTCGTGTGGCTTCACTTCACAATACCAAGGCTAATACTACCACTATGCATGCTATAGCCAATCAACTGCAGTATCTAATCCAATTGGAAATTATTATAAATAACGCTGCTTCCCGTTTTATTGAAAATCATGCTTTTCTGCTGTAGAGGATACTTTCGTTTAATACTTTCGTCGTTGGGAGCAGCCTCACAACTATTGGCATTTATATGGAAATTCACAGACTCTGCAACTGTAAATAAGATCAGTCTGTGATAAGACCAGAAGTTCAAATCTTATGAAGTATTATAACAGCATTGTTGATGGATACATCTATTAAATGTAGTTGTAGAGATTTGCCACCATATTAGGTCACGTTTAGAGAAGGGAGTTTTCAAGCAAGCTACTAATATAAGGTAGATTTTTCCTGGTGTAAAAGTTTCACGTCACATTTTTTAAATAGAGTATATTCATGCACAACTCATATACTAATATATTAGGCACCTGTAATTTCAAACACGTTACCAAAACAAAAATGCCTGAAACTGGATTTTAAGGAAAACATTTTTTTTTTAAACATTTTTTTAAAAATGGTATTACAAATAAGAAGTAGTCATGTTGCGTATGATGCGAGTCCCATGCAACGTAGATGAGCAATTTATTAATTACTACAATAAAAATAGATGCTACCCATTAGCACTGTAGGAATGCTTATGCGCATTACATTATTGCATATTTGCTTAAAAGAGCATAATTATAGAGACCTGTAGAAAAACAATGGTCGTTGTGCCGTGCATGTTTAAAATTTGTGTAAACAATGCATTTCCAGACGTGTATACATCGCTATGTGAAACATAGTGAACATGAAATGGCACAACGACCACCATCTTTTATGCAAATCATCAAATTTTGTTGTATTCGTTACACGAGACTCGTATTGAATGCGGCGTGGTAAGACAGTTTCACATGTTTACTAATAATAAACCAATACCAGGCTTCGTAATATATATATATCTCCAAGAACTTTTATTGTATCATTTTTACAGCTTCTGAGATTTTAAGATTAAAAAACTTTTTTAATTTAAACTCTGTATTTTGACCATTTTTAACTGAATAAACCATTTCTTCCTTCAATGAAGTCAGTCATTAATTAAATATTATATTTAGTAGAATTTTTTTTAATAAAAATCGCCTTCTCGGGTGGATCTATGTTGCCAAGATATGCACCACTGTACCATATATTTCTATGTACTCTGCGCGAGCTGCCGTGGAACGCTGATGAAAACAGCTAAAGTAAAAAAAAAAACACAAACTTGACTATAACACAGTCCTAAACACTCAAAATTTATATACGTTATCTTGTTACGCTATTCAGTCATAATAACTACACCCAAAGTACAGTTTTTTTTAAAAGTCTTTGACATTGTTTTCACCGGTTATGGTTGCCAGGGTGTGAAAATACCCTGATGTCCGTCTCAAGAATAAGGTGTTTTGACATTATTCAGTTCATGCCTCACCCTGTACATGCAAATTGTCATTCTATAATCTATAAATGTATCCAATAGTAACTAATATTTGATTAAAAGTAATAATAAAGAAAAACAAATGGTTGGTGTGAATTACTGTGCTCTTGCTAAAGGGCTAAACATCTCGGCAAACAATATTTATTAGATGCATAATATCCTTTGGAAAGGATAATTCTTAAATTATAAAACAAATCAAAAAAAAAAAATTATATGAATAAAAAATTAAAGACAATTTGCAACCAATGGCGACACGTCGGCACGAGTGCAGTAACTCACACCAACCAACAACTGAAAATTGACATACCGATACAATTACAGAGCCTAATATTGCCTGATAAACACAGGTCTGTAAAGTTTGGATGATGACCATAGCATCAAATAAACACAACGTTACAATACTTCCACTGCTGTCACTGTTCCCGGTAGACTGTCGACAGTCGTCGTACCTAATATTAATCTGTTATTATTAATATTGTGTATAAACGTAATAGGCGTGAATAAATTGCAAACACCGGGACAGGAAGTATGGAGTGCCGTGACTAAAGTCCCTCGCGTGAAATGGTTCGCATTTCTAATCAAACGCCTTCAGCGTTCGAATGTCCAGGAAACGCAATTACATTAGGCCCGAGGACTGTCAACAGAGTATGTTCCCAGCTATGCACAAACCAAAGCGAAAACCCCAAAAAATCTGATCTGATTTGATCTGATTAAAAAAATAATTACACAAGAAATAACATGGAGGCATGCAACATAATTCTTCTGTATAAAGATTTTATTGTTTTACCATCGATAATGATAATGCCACAAACAATTTCAAAATAGATCCAATAATATATGGAATATGCAATACAGTTTATGGTTTTATCCAACTCAATTATTCAGAATGTACATATATATATATATGCAACAGTTTTTTTAAAGGGGCATATGCCGTAATTTTGATGTATACTTACAATTATTCATATTCACAATGTCTGGAAACACATATTGTTCAGTTAGCCATAATATTCATTTTTCAATATTCATATATATTATTTATGGATTGGCAGAAAATAAAGAAAAACTTTATTTGAGTCACTGGTAAACAAAATCAAATAAATTCGACTTTGCTCTATAATCAGATTCTTCATTATTATTAATCTCTAAACAAAGATGAATTTGCAAAAAAATATTACTGAAAGCATGGCCGCATAAGACAGGTGGTCTTTATATAGAGGTTCTATCCCTAAAATAATTTATATTCGGTAAAATTCACTTATCAAATACTGTAGAATACTTTATTTTCACTATTTTCACTGAAGGAATGATTCACTGAAAAGAAAATACAACGAATATACGGATTATACCTTTTCCCCCATATTATACATTCAACTTGTCAAAAATCAGTGAAAATAAATTATGTTCAAAGCATCAAAAATGTCTTTTCAGTGAAAATTGATTCCAGCTAAAATAAAGTATTTTACAGTAGCAGCAAACATGTATGTTTTAATGAATGACTATGTGCAAAATATCACAATAATATAAGCGAGAATAGCAATGATTTGATGCTGTGATATTACACTACAAAGATACACTGGCATATGTGTAAATAACAACAAATCATTACTACCGGTATTCCACGATGCACAAAAATATATGACAGGTGTATATGCTACCGATACTGTAAAATGACTAATTTTCACTGATTTACCATTTCAGGCATATTCAGTGGGTTTTAAATTCACGATTTCGTCATTTAGATAATGTGTTCTATGCTAAATTTTACATATTCACTGGGTTTTAAATTAGCGCATTTTTCCAGTCAGCGAAATAAGCTAAATTAAAACCCAGTGAATAATTACCCCCTTTAGTAGTTAAAGATTATAATCCAGTTATGGGGGGGGGGCAAGGGGGATAGCGATAGCTGGTACAGTTTTACGAGAATGA